TTTTTTTGCAGTTTTTGGCCAGAGCTGAGTTTTAACCCTCCACCTCCAGCATATGGGGCTGGCACCCTACTCCTTTGAGCCACAGGTGCTGCCCACCAATTTGAATTTTTTAAAACTACTGCATTAAAACACATCTCTTCATTTCTAAGTTTTTAGCACCCCCTTAGGGTGTGTGTGTGAGAGAGAGAAAGAGAGACAGATTCATTTTGTCGCCCCTGGTAGAGTACTGTGATATAGCTCACAGCAACCCTAGATTCTTGGGCTCAAGTGATTCTCTTGCCTCAGCCTCCCAAGTAGCTGAGACAGGTGCCTGCCATAACACCCTGCTAATATTATATATATTTTTTGTTTGTTTGTTTGTTTTAGAGACAGGGTCTTGCTCTAGCACAGGCTCTTCTTGAACTTGTGAGCTCAGGCAATCCGCCCACCTGGGCCTCCCAGAGTGCTGAGATTATGGGGGTGAGCCACTGTGCCTGGCCACGCCCTTAGTGTGCGTGTGCGTGTGCATGTGTGTGTGTGTGTGTGTATTTTTTTTTTTTTGCAGTTTTTGGCAGGGAGAGGGGTGCTGGGTTTGAATCCGCCACCTCCAGCATATGGGGCTCGCCCCCTACTCCTTTGAGCCACAGGTGCCCGCCCCACACATGGCCAATGCTTAGCTAAGTCAGCTTGCCTTAGTATCAGCCCCAGGTTGGAAATTGTCACACACCATGCACCCATGCCCACGCTGTTTGGACAACGGCTAGCAATAATCATGACAACTTATGACATTACAAAGATAAGCAAATTAGGAACCAAGATACCGCTCCAACTCACCTGGGGTCACAGTCAATGAGGGCCCAGCCCCCATGGAACTTTTCATCATCGGGCAATAGTAACTTCATGTAACTTTGTAAGAGCTGGCTAATTAGCTCCTGCTGGCTTCTCTGGTTTTCCTTTTGCAAAGCTTCATGCTCTTTCTCCTTGGTAAATATGGAATAAAGATCTTCTGTCACTGGAATGCCTTGCATCAAATCTAGGGTGGAAGTGTTAATATCTATCATAATCTTAGTTTACTAATATATTTTTAAAAAACGAAAAAGAATGTAAGACTAGAAACTATAAAGCCCTTAGAAGAAAATATACACACAAATCTTTGTGAGTTTGGATTAGGCACAATTTTCTAGGTGTGACACTAATATAAGCAACAAGAAAAACTAGACATCATCAAAATCAAGAACTTTTGTGTTTCACAGGGTACCATCACAAAAGCAAAAAGATAACCTACAGTAGAAAATATTTACAACTCATTTATCTGGTGAGGGACTTGTATCCAGAATATGTAAAGAGCTCCTACAACTTAATAACAAGAAGCCAATTTAAAATATGAGTAACAGATATGAATAGACAAACTAATTTCCTCTTGGAGTGTGTAGCTCAGGCCATGGTAAATCACCATAATCCCATTCCCTCCGGGTGGAGTTATTTGGGACAATGAGATGCAACAAGGCTCTGGGAATGAAGATCTGCTAACCACTGGCCCTACAGTAGGCAGTGGTAAGACCAGACTGCAAGTGCCCTCTATCTCTCAACCTTGATCAGGTAGCAGCTGTCACTCTGGATGGCTGAATAGAGGGGAGGACAGAACCTCAGGGACAAACTGAGTTGCTACAGTTGCTACAAACAATGGAAGCCAACTATCTTTTTTTTTCCTGAATAAACTGCTAAACCCACCCCTACCTCTGGCAAATAAATTAAGCTGCTGCTTTACATCAGAAATTCCTAAGTGTTCTGTGCCTAGGCCCTATTAGGCTAATGTGTATGCTAAATACCCAGGTGAAAAAACAAAATTTCAAAGAGATTATCAGAGATCCGCTATGTTACATTTGCTTCTAATCCAGAACATTCTGCATTTACTTTAATCCTATAAGGTAACCCTTTCATGGAGATTAAGAACATGTCAATGCATAAATTCTATTGGGAAATTGACCCTTCCATTTCTTCTAAAAAATGATAAGTTGCTAGGATAATCTCTAAATCTGGTACCCTAATTTCTTGCTAAACCATGCTTATGGAAAAGGATAGTGGATTTGTCCACATCAAGAACAAGAAAAACATTATTCAAGAAATGAAAGCCATCCAGTTTTCTTAGCCTCAAATAATGGGAAGCAAACAGTACATGAAGTTTTCAGTTGTAGTTTTAGGGCACCTTATTCCATACCCCAGGAGCTTCAAACCTGGTTTTCCATTACCTGATAGCAAACTGACAATTATAAAAACCTTTGTCAAATTCTAATCTTGTAAAAACCTGAATTTGATTTATTGGGTAAGATGCTCAACAGAGAAACACATTACCAAATGTGAGTTATGTCAATGAAGTTGGTTTCTCTAAAATGTTAGTCACAGAGTAAATAAATTTTAGGGAAAGAAAACATTTCTGTTTCTTACCTATAACAGCTTGCCTATAAGCATCCTTAAATCGATTGAGGTAATACCTATTTGCTGAGTTCACTCCATCTTTCATAACTCCTGCTAACTTCCTTTCTCCTGTTCTTGTAAAGTCACCCTGTCAAACAAAAAATCATTCTGACCATTTATTCAAACACAAGAATGTTCTCCCCAAATCAATTGTGAGCTGTCAGTTCAAGACTAGGATTGTACAGACTTTTATAATTTCCAAAGTATAAATTCTATAACTTTCAAATAGTGTAATTAAGTTAAAATATCTACAAGTATCTGACTCTGATCCAAGTATGTCAAATGACTAAACATGCTATTTGTGAAACCAAGTCTTCACAGTTAGTGCTTTGGGGTGAAGCCACTCTTGGCAATTTGTAGAGTTTCTGGAATTTACAGATCAAACCAATGATAATGACAAACACAAAACAAAAAAGGTTTCAAGCCTCAAACTGGTATAATATTGAAAAATCAAATTTTTGATGTAGGAAAGGGACAGTTCCCTAAGGTTATGATAACAGACTTACTTTAACCTGTGTGTACATGTAGATGGAAATAGAAAGTGTAGCCCAATCCAACGAAGACTCAAGTTGTTTCCTAACAAAGGTGTCCGAGAAGTCTCTAGAGAGGTAGTGATTTAAACTGAAGGGAAGCGAGGTACAGTCTCTTTTTCCTTATTCCAATTCCACTATTTCCACCCAAGGCAATCTCAGAAATCTCAGGCCTTATTCTAAATCTGAACATTTTGGAAGAGCGTGCTGCCAATTAGGCCAGTCACAAGGGAATGTTAGTAGAGCCCCAAGGATTTCTTATGGCCTCTTCTTGTCATGACAGTGCCGTTCCTTGTCTATGGCAAAGGTTTCTTCCTCTATAAACCTGTATCTTGCTCTTGCTCTGCAAACCTATCTTTCTCTTCCTCAATAAACTTTGTTTCACACTTAAGAAAAAAAAAAAAAATATATATATATATATATATATATATAACAGAAGAGACAATCAGGAATGCACGCTCAAAGAGATGTATACTCAAAAGGAAAATAAAGTATTTCTCTTATACGTACAATAACTTTTAGAAGGACTTTTAAAGTTTATTTTCCTTAAAATGCTTTTGATGTTTATCATCCAACCAAAAAGACAGACTGTCTTGATGCCTGTTGAGTCCTTGATGGTACAATTTGTTAGAAGAAATATACTGAAATGAACCATTACCTTGAAGAATGATTAACATAAACCTAATTTAAACTAATTCAACCACTTCTTATTGCCCACAGAGGGCAATGCCCTCAGAGGGACTATTTAGTTACCAGGAACTATATTTTACATTGAACTTAAAATTCTGTGAAGACTAGGTCTGTGGGACCTTCAATACTGTAACAATATTTATGTTATTGTAAATAAAACAAATATATTGTTCATTATAACCCACATTTCTTCAGCATTTACTATGATGCATTAATGAATATAATCTCATGACCATCTTGTGAATGAAGCCTAGGATTAACCCTGTTTGATAAATTACACAGAGTGGTTAATACACAGAGCTGGTAAGATGCAGGGTTGGGATATAAACTCAGAGAAGACCAAGAATCCCACTGGGGACCTGATCCCACCAGTAGACATAGTTTGCCTGTACACAATTTTGAAAACTAATTATTTCACATAAAATTCTCTATTTCCATACCACCTTAAAAAACTGGAAGATCCGGCAACAAGGGGCCTCACAAGGAAACAGCAAACTGGCCACTTCCAAATGCTTCTCCCAGGTCCACGCAGCTCCCCTCTCCCTCTCATCTAATGGGCATCCTGCTAGAATCCCATTACCTGGCCCAACTCCTGCCTTAGCCAAACATTCCAGAAAGGAGTTAACTATCCAGTCCTAACACCTGTAGCCCATTTACCTTCCTGTGGTTTTTAAACCATAGTCTATCCTGTGTCCTACAGAACAACCTGCATGTGCTTGCGGTATGGACTTACCTTCAGGGCGGCTGTCCCAGCATACTGTCTGCTAATGGAGTCACCATTGTTAGCCCACATTATCTGGTAGATACGATTACATTTCACAGGTAATGGCTGCTCTGGGGGCATCACACCTAATTTCTTCAGCTAAAATGAACACATTGGTAGATTAATGGTATGTGGGCCTGGAAACCACAACATAAAATGTGTACTATAGAAAAAGGAAACTTATTCATAATACAATTCAGGACACTTAAATTTTTAAAAATAGTGTTTTTAGGGGCACCCATAGCTCAGTGGGTAGGATGCCGGGAACATACACCGAGGCTGGTGTTTGAACCCGACCCGGACTAGCTAAAAATAACAATGACAACTGCAACAAAAAAAAATAGCCAGGCATTGTGGTGGGTATCTGTAGTCCCAGCTACTTGGAGGCCGAGGCAAGAGAATCACTTAAGCCGAAGAGCTTGAGGTTGCTGTGAGTTGTGACGCCACGGCACCCTACCCAGGGTGACAGCGTGAGACTTTGTCTCAAAAAAAAACACCACTTTTCTCAGACTTTTAAAAAAAAATAAGCATTGGGGCAGCGCCTGTGGCTCAAGGAATAGAGTGCTGGCCCCATATGCCAGGGGTGGCGGGTTCAAGCCCGCCCCGGCCAAAACTGCAAAAAAAAAAAAAGCATCGCTTGAAAGGTAGCTTTAGAGATAGCTACAGCTGAATACGTATAATTAAATATACTGTTTTGTATAAGTTTTAATGTGTAGGATCATACTATTATATTTTGTCTTTGTTTTAAATTTGCCTATATAGTAAAATTATCAAAAAATCACATAGAAACAATATTATCCAGTCACAGAATGACTGAGAAAAAAATCAGTAATAATGTTAATAGTAGAGTAATCAAGGGCCCAGTAAATGTTAATTCTGGGCCAAAGTTAGGGTGGTAAGAACTCTTTTACGGGGTGGCACCTGTGGCTCAAAGGAGTAGAGCACCAGCCCCATATGCCGGAGGTTGGGGAGTTCAAACCCAGCCCTTGGCCAAAAGCTGCAAAAAAAAAAAAAAAAAAAAAAAAAGAACTCTTTTACATAAATTATCCCATTTAATCTTCACAACAATGCAATCAATACTGTTATTACCCCCATTTTAGAGACGATGAGACTGAGGTTTGGACAGAGTCAACATTTAATACACAATAGAGCCAAGATTTAAACTCAAACCTGGCTGCAGAAACACTGTATTAGAGAAACAAACTCAAGTCCTCAAAGAATAGTCAGGAGGTTCTACCACAAAACAAAACCATACCAGAAACCATGCCAAATATTTCCACCTTGGGAATTTAATACAGGGGCTTTGTCATTCAGATGTGGGAGGGTTGAAAGATCTAAAGGGGATACTGACAGAGATAGGAAGCAGCTGTCACCCCTAGGGCTGGGACACAAGGGAAGAGGCTGGTTTTGTGATGTCAAAGGAACCAACAAGCTGCTCACAGGAATAACACGGGTGAAGGGGCTTCTGCCTTTCCCTCCTCCTGCCGGCGGCCTTCCTGTGGCAGCCCCTGCTGGCAGAGCCAGCTGCCTAGGCAGAAGTGTAGCCAGCAAACTCTCAGTCCCAAACCCACAGAAGGGTGGGTCTGGAGGTGAGAGAAAAAAGGTAAATGAACACACGCATTGCCGTGTAACAGACTTTTAGAGTGTTAGGAAATTACATTTTTGAGGCTTGGCACCTGTAGCTCAGTGGTTATGGCGCCAGCCACATACACCGGGG